GCAGGACCATGAGCTGCTGCATGGTATCGTTAACCTTGCGAAAAAAATGGCTTGAACGAAACGCAATGGTGTTTAACGCCTAAGAATGGTCTCTGGAACAAACTACATCCAGTATATGGCAACATCTACAGGATTATGGTCGCATTGGATGGAATCAATTAACCGTAAAGGATGATGAAGCCCGAGAGGAATTCACTTTTGAACACTTTGACTACACATTGGAAAAAACCAGATGCTTTGCACCAGGACGGATAATAGAATAAGTTGGCATAGTTTTAGTTCTAGGCTTCTAAGTTAGCTTACCTACCTTAGTTCAAGGGTAATCCAGGTCCCTACTTTGAGTTACTAATCCAGGTCCGCCGGTCTGGGGTTTTTTTTAACTCTATTCTAGACTGGTTCTGTATTGGTTACTCCCTGCAATTTATTTTTACTTGTGCCAAAAAAAAAAAAAAAAAAAAAAAAAAACTACTGCTATAAAATCCAGGAGCATTGGACTAACGATGTTCCGGAACTGAGGGTGATGTCGACACGCACACCACTCATTCTACAAGTCAGTAAGGTCATGATCCCTCGAAGAAACAGATGTAAACAACTCGTTCCACACAGTTGCGTTCATCGTTTGAAACCCATTTCCTCGGTTCGTCTTCCGGAACTGCAGAAACAGCATTACTAACAACCAGTTTCAGCGAAATACACAAAACGGTGTAGAAACACAGGAGGTAATCTTGTTCCATCTCAGTGCAGGACACATGCACACGTGGTGCAGGAAGGATTGGGGGGGGGGGGGTTTCTTGGGTGAGGGTACATGATTCTCTCTCTTGGTCCGGAAGGAGGGAATCCAATGCAGGGGCTGCAAAGGAGGCACCAGAAAAGCCAGCTCGGAAGGCACATAAAACAAGCAGGGACGGAAGGGTGAGGTGTCGAAAAAGCTGCAGTCAGAGAGAGTGAATGGGCCCTTCAAGCCAGGCTGGGGAGCCAGGCGAAGTCGGCGTCAGAATGTGAGAGAGAGAGAGAGAGAGACGCGGAACTCTCTACACCTGGTGATTCCGGTCTTCTCCACGTGACAATGCCCCGGCGACAGTCCTGCTCCCTTTGTCTCCGAAACGCCGCTTGCCATATCCCTGAATCGATGCCCCGCAACTCCGCCGCACAGAAACACCCCGAAAAACAACAACATCGTCGACGACGCCATTCTTCGGTAGGAGTTAGATGGATGAATTTATGTGGATGGATGTGAGGTATGCGGGTGGATGGGCAAGGGATGGATGGGTGTATTTTTCGTGTATGGATGGATGGAAGTTGTGCCCACTTGATTTCATCGCCGATTTTCCACAAGCTACATGGCTATGTTTTTTAATATTATTTTTAGATGGATTTTTAAATGAAGATTTGGCAATAATGAGGCATGCAGTAGATGATTTTAAAAAGGTTTCTAATGTCAGTTGAAATCGTGTTTTATTTATGTTTTAAGTTTTGGAAATATGTTTATTATGATTGATTATATGTATATATATAAATACAATGATTATGGTACACTTTTACTTTTCTTTTTTCTTTTTTTTAAAGTGTCAACAAGAATGAGAGGAAAATTGAAATTTTAGATTGATGTTTAGACTTGGAATATTGTAATAAAACAACACATGAGAAATTTTAGCTTAAAACAAAAAAAGAAATATATATAGATATATAGGGGTTTTTGTGAAGAATAAATGATCTTGTACAAATTGGTTTCTTGGAAATGGAAATTAACAATATTCTTCAATTATTTTACAAAATTTATAAATATTGAGCAAGTAAACAATTCACAAGCATATGCACAGTAAATAATAATACTAAAAAAGACTACTAATATGATTTGGATGTGTACCTAAAAAAATATTCAGAAGAATAAAAAGTACAGTTGAGAAAATATATATATATATATATTTTTTTGACAATATTCAATATCTATAGAGGAAGATAAAACTAAGAAAGGTTTTTAATAATACATAAGAAGGATCTTGGATTTGTTCTTTAGTAAATTGGAAATGACACTAAAAAATATTATAAAGCAATTTGGATTCTTTTATAGCCTTATAACCAAAAATTAATAAAAAATTATAAAATATTATAATGATTATTTTTGTTAAAAAATTATATAACAACTTGATTTATTAAAGGCTACAAAACATTGATTTGATTGTGTTGTAAATGAATGGTTTTAAGACTAGATATGTTTTGACATCATACTAATCATTGTAAATCAAGAGATAAGATTCAATTATATGTTAAATTATAGATTTCATGATATTGAAAATAGTTTGAAAATAAAGATTATAGTTAAATAAGATATAATACTTTTATAAAAAAATTCAAAATTTTGTTGAAAATATATGATATTATTATAATTTTTATTAGATCTATGCAACAAAAAGTATTTTTATTATTTTATGCAATATTTTTTTTATAGAAAACATACTAAAAACTTTAAAATTAATTTTAAAAATTAAAAATTAAGTTTTATTTTACTAAATAATATATTATATAAAAAATATAACTTTAATACATATTTTCAAGAACAAGATTTATATTGGTAGCAACCAAAACCAAAGTGTTATTAGTTTTTTTTGTTATAGTAGAACTATAATGTTAGGATGGTAGAAGAATATGATGTTTTTATAGAATTTTGAATTATAATAATTTAAAAATTCATAGATATTTTAAACTTTAAATTTTTTTATAAATTTTTTAACAAATCTAAATTAATATTTATAATTATTTTCAACAAATCTAAATTATATACTATTGATGCATAATTATATATTTTATTTAAATTAATAAATTTAATTTATTAAAAAATAATATTTTTACTTTTTCAAAAAAATATTTAGTAAAAAAATTTAAAAATAAGAAAATAAAATTTTCTATCAAATTTGGCAATAATTAACAAATTCCAAATCTCAAAACTTAAGTAGTAATAATGATTGAATGTTGTTTTAGTTATAATACATCAAATTAAGATTGGTATTTTTAGATTTTTTTTGAGAAAATATATCCATATTTTAATATTTTAAAATATGTTTTAGAAATACATTGTTATAATCTATTTCGTAGATAATATTAATGAATTAACATACATTATAAACACAATAGAATTATTGGTTTTATAAATAAAAAATTTATTTATAAAAAATAAATTCTTATGATTTTATTTTTTATTTTCATTTTTATTTTTCCTTGAATATTGCTTTTTTCAAATTTTAATTAATATTGTAATTTATTTCAATCAATTTTTTTGGATATTAAATAATATTGAAGACCATATGTAATTTTTTAATAACTTAATAATGCTTCCAATAGTTTATGTTTTAAAAATAATATTCTTCAATATAACAGACCATTTTTGAAAGTATAGGATGAGTCTTATTTATTAGAAATAAATTAAAACTTATTAGAATAAATATATGAAAAGTTTCAAAATATACTTAGTTAGAAAAATTAATATACCTATTGTTATTACTTCAAAGTTACATACTTATTTCAAAACCAAAAGAAAATTTTCTTTTAAAATTATAGTATTAATATATATATATATATATATATATATATATATAACTCTAAATTTGCAAAATGATTTTAATAAAATTTCAAGAATACACATATATTGTTACATAAAGTCTATTAACAAAGACCAATTAAATAAAGATTACATTCTAATGTCCACACAACTACAATTGAAAATGATATGCTCAACCAAAATTCAATCAACTCTTCCAAATTTGTGGTCAATAATGACAATTTCTAATGAAAATGCAAAAAGACATGAATCATCCACATCCTTCGTATATCCACATAAGATAGAAACACAAAGAGTATCTACAAATATATATATATATATATATAGGAGAATGTTAAATAGACTCATGCTTTTACTAAATTAATCCACCCATCCTAAACAACATGAACAGAAAATGACCTTTGGATTCATTTCTCCACTACTGGACCCAAAACCAATGAAAACCATCCACATTTATCATGAATACAATATTCTTTACCATTGATAAGTCAATTCAGTAAAAATCTGGGTCTATTTAGCATTCCCCTATTAATATATATATCTATGTATATATATATATATACATATATATACACATTCATACAAAAAAAACAAAGATATACTGATTGTTGAAGTGATTACAGATTCCTCCACTTTGAGACATGAATACATGGAACAACGATACATCCAGGGCGTTTAACGCTACATGATATTTACAGTTACGCAAAAACAAAGATCCATTGCTGTTATGCGGAGGAGTCATATCCAAGTACTACTGGTATATTTTAACCTGATTTGTTTAGACTTGGGTTGTTGCTGTCACTCTGCCAGCAAGTAGCTTGCATATGCAAGCTGAGAACATGGCAGCACCAAGCCTGCTACTTTCTACAGCGTTAGAGTTCTATTGATTATTGTTGAGTTACTGATTTACTGTTTAGTTGAGTAATGCCTTGGTTTGTGGTTGTTGTCAAGACTTTCAAAAGAGCACATTGATCAGTGCTTATTCTGGAAATAACATACTCATCCTGCGTCTGTGCTGGTGAAATGCACGCAATGTTAATTATTCGTTGGCATGAGTTGTGTTACGTGATAGTTGTCAGGGACTGTTGACAGTCACACACCAGTGGAAGTATAATTTTATATAGTGGGCTTAGAGCGATCCAACTCCCTCCCTGTTTGTTTGGATAGGAGGGAAAACGAACTGATGGTCGAGAATAGAGTGAATCTTTAGGCTTTAAACTGCCCTTCCCAGTTTGTTTAAAATGATAAAGGGCCGAATTCAGACCGCCACGCCTGGTGACCGACCCCCCAGAAAGGCCGGAGGGAAGCGAGTAAAAGGAAAAAGATGAGAAAAAATCGTTCCCTCGTCTGCTCTAGATGCTACCGCCAAACCTGCATCTGTCCTTAGCTATTTAGAATCTCTTTAGGAATCTATTATTTTTTAGTTAAGGTCTGTTCTACCGGAAGGTGGACATACAATTTTGCTAACGACTGTCTCTACATTGCGCCCCTCTCCTCCTCCTCCTCTCTCTCTCTCTCCCAGGAAGGTCTCCTCCGCCACTTCTCAGGTTTCTAAATCTCATCCCTTCATCTAGATTGTCCATGCATCAGCTAGGATCGCTGTGACGCCCGCTTTTTAGTACAGTCCTGCAAACATTATCTTTCTGAAAAGGCTGGGGCAATTGTAAGTCGACAGAACCAGTTTTGAGTGCAATCGTTTTTGTCGGCCGGCAGGGAGTGAGTGAGCGGAATTGGTGCGATGGTTGCAACTTGGATCTGTGTCTAAGTAAATTTGTTGAACCGTCTGTGAGAGGTTGAGAGTTGAAGGGGAGTGTGAGTGTGAGGGGTAATCGTGGAGGACGCTGTGAAAATGCAGAGTTCCTCATCGGTGTGCTACTCCGTAGCGAAGATCGAGAGCGACTTGGGCGGTCCATCCAGGATGATTGGCAGTGGGATTGGATCACCGGTACCCTCAAACCTTCAATTCGGAATCCGGAAGCAGAGCGAGAGGTTGAGCGCGTCAGCCCTGAAGGTTGGCAAAGAGTCGCACCGGATCCGGAAACCCCCGCTGCCGCTCCCCCAAGTGCAGTACCGCCCACCAATCATCATTCACACGTACTCGCCGAAGGTTATACACACAGAACCAGATGACTTTATGTCTTTGGTTCAGAAGCTCACTGGCTCCAGCGACACGCGCTTACGACTGAAGCGAAATCTATCGGCCAAGAAAGGAGCCAAGTCCGGTGATCGGACCAAAGTTGATACCACCGATCTTGAGCAACAAGGTATGAACTTAAGGCCTTATTCCTTTGTTTGCTTTAAAGATTTTTCTGCTCTCCAACACTTGAATGTAAAATTGGTTGAAAATGTGGCGTCGTTCAGATGTTTTTTGAAAGATTTGAACGGGATCTGGTCTCGTTCAGGCTATTTTACAATCTCGTCCTTAACCATGCACCGGCCTGCCACGAATTCATTACAGGATCAAAAGATGCCCGCTGTGGATCACCGGCTCCAGTCTCCGAAGAGTCGACCTTCCTGACCTCTGATGCTTGCGGGAGTGTCCTTGCGATGAAGCAGTCGGACTCTCCAAAGAGTCCACTAGACTCAAATTTTGAGTTCGAAAACCACGACTTGCTGTTCACTACCTTCGACGTCAAGACGGAGCCGTCGTCGTTCTCATTCAACGACAATTCCTTCAATTTCTTCAGTGACTTCAATCCTCAGCCGGCGTCAGCAGCTTCACGAGCATCGAACCTGCCCGCAAAGACCGGCCAGATAGCTCAGGAGCCTTACAACTCCTTCCCCAGTATTGATATCAACTCTTCCCTTCCCTCTCAGTCTGGATCCTATTTCACTACAGGTCCGATGGCCAGTCTTCCTGACTTCTCCCAGTCGTTTCTCGACTGCTTTACAGGCGCTCCGGCTCCTCCTCAACGGCAAGGCCACTTCAATGGAGGATACTCGTCATCCTCCGAGAGCACCATGGTTGCGCTTGAGAATATCCAGGCTTTCATGCTCCATTGAAGGACCCAGGTTCACCTCGACAGCTAGTAATTTCCAATTAGAGCATTGTTCGATTGCTAGTAACCTGGCAACTCATGGCCAGAGCTTGCCGTCCGGATGGCCGACCAGTGGAAGAGCATCTCCTGCTCTTTTCTGATGAAACTGGACACTGTCTAGCACTGGCTTGTCATGGTACTAGGATCTAACCGCTTGCGTCTGTACAGCAACAGCCAGCACGCCACCACTTTGATACATGTCCATCGTTGGTCGATTCACTACTGGCTTCCAGAGGGAAGCCAAACTTTAACAGAACGCGTGAAGATTCCATAGCCTGCGTTGAACTAGGCATTACCGGTAGACAGTGTTGTGCGGAATTATCATCATAACCACTTAGAATCACTTGTAAATGATAGGTGGCAGAATGAGGATAGTCAACTATAATATTGACGCCGAGCGTAGAAAAGATTGAATCATTGCTGTCAAGCTGAGTCAGATAGATCAGGTCGCAGCAATGACTAGTTGCTTGGGTCTTGTGGAAGTTTTGATAAGTTTTGACCTCTGAGAGTATGTAGAATATCATTCAGTTCAATTCTAGAATGCTACAGGACCAATTAGTGTAAACGTCTAGCAGTGAAGTGTAGAGAGTGGAACCCCTTTTCCTCAGGTCTCCAAACGTAGCTCGTGATGTATCATAACCATGTCACTAACAGTTATACTATCTGACATAGAATATGTAATCTAATGTGTTAATCTTTTAGAGTTTATATTTTGTGGTTTTTGCATATACCTTCCATGTAGGCTTTAGCCAGAAGTAGACACTCATGTAATTAGTGGTACATATTTGAAGTGCATTTGAGTCCTTAGAATGAACATACCATACTACATCTAGCAGCACGCGGGCGGCATTGCTGAAGATCGTCCAAGCAGTGGTCGTCTTGCAAGGTGGGAAGAATTTCATGATTGGATTGAAGCTTTCTCATGGTCCGAAGTTGTAGTAGTTGATCCTCAAACGGAAGGAGGTGGAGGAAATCGGAGGAACCGCAAGTTGGCTCAGTGATTTTTAAATCTTAGGACTACTGTACAAGTGGAAAGACATTCCCGTCAACATCGACATCGACATCTGTAAGATACTTTCCTTGTTTCACATAGTAACCGTTGACGATAGAATGTCAAGTGGCATTCAACTTATGCTCTCGTCTTCTACTTTGATTCCGATATAGTTTAAAACCTTATGGAGCATTGGTGGACGAGTTCTACATCAGCTCCATCACAGTGAAGGCATTACCGGAGGCTCGTCCAACCCTGAATTATTCATTGATCAGCATCGGAAAGGCGACTATCCATCATTTCCCTGGTTGATAGCTACAATTGGTGACTGCCTCTTTCCTTTTGTCGATTTTCCTCCACATTTAGATTAGAGGCGCTCATCCCTTTACTTGACCTCGTGGAGCACCAGTTCTTCCATCGAGGTGTATCCCACAAGACTGATAACTGACACCATCTGTGCTGGATGGCGGCGAAGAAGACGAAGCTCACGACATCACAAGCTTGCCAAACGAGATGAGATTGTTGCCTCTGTTCAATGCAGGGAACTTGTAGGTTTCGTAGTTATATTCACGTAAAGTGGTACTTGATGCTTTTTCGTGATAAAACTGATAATAGATGAGATCCGGATGCCGCATCAAGTTCCAAAATTGATTCAAATAAAGGCAAGATGTTTGATTACCTCACGGTGCCCAGTCGCTCCACCGACTCGATTGGATAAGCCCTCACTCGGAAGTAGCCCACATTTGAGTCGTATAAATGTTTGAAAATTTGTCTTCGAACTGAAGCTGTGTCGAAGACCTCGTCTGTGAAACTTCACCCTCCAATCCTCGAAACGAAGATGGACCGGGCAGTTTTCCAGCCTGCATCCATTGCAGTTCGAGGTATTTTTCTTTGCTACTTTACGATACTTTCATTCTTCGAATGCGGAGCTGTTCGGAAGCACTCCAATCTGGCACTTCGCTTTCTCTTCTTGACATTTCAAACTAACGGTTGTTACCCAAATTGGGAATTCTTCAACACGACAATTCTAGCAGAATTTGCACTGGGTCACTTAGAGAGTTAAAGCTGCTATCTAGTTTTGATGCTCTGGATTCGTTCAATCATTCTAGGTTAAGTTGGTGCATGAATAAGATTATATGTCACAGCATTGCAGGTCTGATCTGAGCTTCGCTTGCAACATCTGAACGCATTCGAGATGATCAGTGTCACTCGCATTTCAAGTGAGTGGACTGCTCTGATATGCTCCTGGCATTTCATAAGCTGATAGATTTGGCATGATTTGCTTGATGAGCTCATTGTGCTAGGGTTTTTTTATTATTATTGTTTTATTACATTTTATTTATAATTTAAAGTTTGTAAGAATGATCCAAACAAATAGTATAAATTTTCAAACATAGTATACAAATTTTCAAACATTTAAAGAAAATAGCAGTGTATATTCAAAAATTGGACAAGTTTTGACATTCTGTTTATGGTATTGTCATTTTCTTTATTAGATAGAAGACATGATTGGCCTTGCCATAGTTCCAACTTAGTACAATTTAAGGTCCAACAAAGATGCTACTTAATCACTCGAAAATCTTAGCTTAGTAAAAATCAAGGGGAACTTGGTTAAGTTTCTGCATGGTCAATTGTTTTTTCTGTTGTGATGAACTAACCATTTAGTAATATTTTCGAAACTTCAACTTATTTATAAACATATTATGTGAATTATAGCAATCCATGTTAAAATAATATAAGTGTTGCAATGATATGAGTGTAGGTACATTTTATAATCTCGAAGTAACATCTCCTCTTCAGCCATCAATTAGTCTTGATTAAAAAAAGTATTTCCAAGGCTCGTTTTGCATCCATTTTTATAATTCACATTTCTTGGAAAGTTATCTTATCATCTCAAAGCTGGTAAAAAGGTAGATCAAAAGTTTATGAAGTAGAGAGAACGGAAAAAGAGACATGGAAACATAGTAATAATGTCAGAACTGTTTTTTGAAGAAAACTAAAGAATTAGAGAGTTGAAGCAGTCATTGAATCTCACACATTGACGTTATCTCTCTCTCTTAAAAAAAAACTTTCAACTTTTACAGCTTCGATGCATGCTTTATTGTTTTGAAAAGATATTTATAAAATAAAAATTGAATGCTTATAATGAGACGTAAGATTCACAAATTGCTCCACAGTGTTTGTGTAAAAACTGCACAGAACATATAAATATAGATGGAAAGAAGTAATACCTCAACTTCAAGGATGTAAATTCACGATTTTTAAGTACTTGTTCTCTGAATCTTTAAAATAACGATTTATGGGGAGGGACAGAAGTACATCTAAATGTGCAGACCAGAAACGATCAAGTTGAGAACACACCCACAGCGAACACAGCAATAGAAAATATGGATTGATGCTGCAGTAATTTGAAATGAAAAGAATGATGTAATGATGCAAAATACAACTAATCTTCAACGCATGTCTTGCTATTGGTGTAAACTAACCTTGAATATCAAGGATTTCTAAGACTTGTACACAAACCCGCTCACCTGTAGCAATCACCACTTCAGTGCACCATGCATCTGCACATACCAGACAATCATCGCAATAAATTAGCTGCTTACAATCACTAATATCTGCACGTCTAAGTTCAGTGTATGATTTACAATGTGTATGAATATTAATACCAGCATATAAATATCGTAACTAACTAACTGCTAAAGATCCGTACCCATTGAAGTGAACCCTCACAATCAACACCCGTCACAGTAACATATTAGCTACACCCCCTTACATTCATGTCTTGTTTCATGACAAAACTGCAAGATTCACTACATAAGCATCCAAGAGACACAAAGATTCGTATAAATCAGTACCAAAAACATGAACTTACGAAAACATTATCAGACAGAAATTACTGAAATGCGATAAATTTCAAAAAGTAGAAGAAAGAGGGCACCTAGACCTAGCAAAAAAAACTCGGTAGATTTTCCCAGATCATTGCACTCCATGCACCAGTACAAGGGAACTAGAAAAAGCTAAAACAGAATTCAAGGAGTAAAAACTTACTGCAAAAAGTACAAGAATATTTCTCCAAGGTTACTAGCGGAAGGCAATATTTCGAAGACATCCTGGAGAGCTTCGTGTTTTCATCTTCAAATCTGCTAACATTTTGCCATACAAATGAAATAATAAGTCTACGTTTAAACAATATACTACGAATACTAAATAAATTTAAAGTCATACACAGTTCCCTCAGCTGGTCGATGCCTCAAATCCACATACGCTCACAAACAGCAAAACATACCATGTGCATCACTCCTGCCCTTCTTTATAAGCGGGAGGGAGGGAGCAACGCAACATGGTATAGCTGTGCATGCTTCGGATTACTAAAAGTGTCATCACTGGGATACATGAACACCACTTCAATTCAAACTAAAAACTTGGGGCTTAAATCATGAGCGCATAAATTGAAATAGACAACTTCTTCTCTTTAAAAAAGTGATATGTTTTTTTGTTTGTGATTGCCTTACCACTGAACGAAAATCTCCTCAAAAATTTAGAAGAATTTTTTCCTTCGCTACTCCAGCGGCCAGAAGTATGTCAGTCACATCCTGATCAGAAGACTGTAGGATTAGCACATTGTGCTACGATTCAAGCTCAAAAGGCAACTTCATAAATGAACTACATGGTTGAACAGAAACCCTATCTTAAAAACAACGAGTTGAAGCCCCAAATAATCACGTGCACTCTCACATGCGCTTCAAAAAGGAAAGCACCATATTTTGTGACGTGAAGGAAAGTATACCAGTGCCATTTGTTTGTGCCCACACAACACCGCACCAGTTTGCGACCCAACTATGCTTCCCTTGTCATTGGAGAAAGCTGCCTGGAATATCATCACCATGAATCAATCCAATACTTAGCACATAGATCCGCATATCATCCGAGAATGCACATAGCCAAGAAACCAAGTAGGCACCACAAGTAACGTTCGATGAGGTTACAAGACAGAGACAGCAGCACAATCACATTCCAGGAGAACAGTCAAGAGTGAATAAAATCACAAGTGTAGTCAAATTAGTAGGAAATTTGCGACTAACACTACCTGTACGTAACCTTGAGCCCCATTCCAGGGGCCGGTAGGCTGAGACAATACAGGGATTACTTGAACACCTGATGCTTCCCAGTCCTTAAATCTATCCTGTAGATTTAGATACCAACTATATTGTCAGATGAAACTAGACGGTCGCTGATGCAAGACGGTTTGGACAATATACTTAAGACTTATTGTATCCCACAACGAAAAAATCAGGAAATCTCGAAATAAAACCTCGATCATATCCAATATGAAAATCCTGAGAATACCTGGTATGACATTCGGTCTAGGTTGCGAGCACCATAATATAGACGCACGTCTTTTCGTTTATGGGCATCAAATCCTGCCTCCAACAACGACCGGATTGGACTGTCGTAGACAATGACGTGTTGTTAGGACTCGCAATCTACTCTTCCAAATCCACTTGAAACAAAATAGATAAATCAAGATCAGATACCAAAGGAGTATGCCTCAAAGCTTCAGGCACTTCTGTGAAACCCACCTAATTCCAGAACCAGTGGCGAAGAGCAGAATCGTGGAGTAGTCTTCCGCAGGTGCAACTTGGTCCATGCGGAAGCCGCTACCCATTACCTGGCTAAGCTCTACCTTGTCACCTTTTCCTAAGCTACATAACATACCGGCAGTGGTGCCTTCCACGGCCTTGATCAAAAATTCCATAGACCCAGACGCAGCTACCTTCGGGGCTGAGGCTATAGCGAGGAATGCTGGCTTGCTGTCGCCGAACTTGACCTGAATGAACAAGAGTTGAAATGGTTCAGCAAAAACCATGGCTCTAGTACATGTTCATCATCACTTGTTAGCAACAATCGAATGCAATACACGTCAAACATTCTCTCTTTCAGTATACCAATCGCAATGTCGGGCTCTTAGCCATTTGGATCTCCCGTCCTCATGTAATGGCTATCCTTCAGGACCTGGACTCGCAAGGGTTAAGCCAAACATAATCATCGAGAATTGACCTAAATTTCAACCACTACCTGATATGAATACGCGACCAATAGCCACACAGCTGCAACACAGCAAATTGATCTTCTTACGTGTGGACAGGAGACCATTACGAGAAACCGACTTAACCTCTAGGAACATCCACGCTGAATAAACTCACAACCTGACAACGACCTAATTCACATTCTCAAGTCAAGGTGATGAAAACAGGACAATCGCTGGATTCCTTTTTTCCAGCACGCCTCCACTCCTCCACGAACAAATTGAGTCCACCAGGGCATTCACCTGAACAAACTGGCCAGCCTTGGTATGCCCTTCCATCAACTCACGGTTCCCACTGACATCCAACACGAAGTGATAATGCTCCTCACAGGCAAGCGCAACGTCGGCCACGGGAGCTTCAGCCCACAGCACCTCCTGTTTCCAGACGGCACGCACGGCGGCGACGCCTCTCGCACCGCGACGCGGCGCTACACCACCACGCAAGCCCCAAGCGCGCTCTTCTGGCACCTTGAGGCGTCGGAAGAGGCCCAGGGCGGGTCTCGCGAAGGCAATCCTGGTGCTGGACATCGCTGGCCGCGGGAGCACCGCGTCCACGCGCAGCGATGGCGCAGCAGAAGCAGCAAATGGGGCCGAGGTCACGGCTATGGCGGCTACGGCGGCCATGGCGAGAGAGAGAGAGTGAGCAATACAAACGGACCTGGAAGGGGCACGACGAGAGGCAGAGAAGAGACGGTGCGAAACAATGACGGGCCGGGTCGGAGGATCAGGGAGTTTCATTGGCCCCTCCGCCTCGCCCGCGCCACCCGTTATTAGGGCTCCCCCTCGATCGCCACATCAGCAAGTCTGGGGTCACGCTATTGGCCACGTCACCTGGATAGCTTTTTCTCCATAATTTTTGCCCCCCCCCTTTCAATGTTTGATGTTTTGGCAAGTGTTTAGATTTTTAGGTTATTAAATTATCTATAGCAATTTCATTTTAGAGAATTATTAAATTGATCCAGCATTTTCTATATTGACCCACCCATCCTAGCCATCATATAACAAATTCCTAACTGCTGGATCTGTATTGGTTGAAAACTAATGAAAAAATGGTTAGATCTACAACCAATGATGATGGGTTAGTTGTTTTAGTAAATGCCTGGGTCAATTTAATTATTCCCTCGATTTTATATCCTTCTTCTTCTTTTGAAAGACTTGTGAACTTTCAAACATGATTCAACTTCTTTGATTTTAGTTTCATTGGTGCCTCTTGGTTTTCAAAATCTACTATGATATTTTTATTGAATATTTAATTTAAAATGTTTAATATTATTAACGTAACTTCCTGGGGAAAAAAAGGGGGTTATTATGTTGAGAAATCTAATAAATAAATAAATGGACCAGAAACCAGGAAATTATTTGTGTTGCATTCTATTTGTGCTTGTAAATCCATCAAAACTATGTTGTTTTAAAGAGATACATTGGATTTTGCGGTTGTGATATTATTTTTCATTTTGTTGTGATATTTATGGGTGATTTAAAATTTACAACTCTGTAGCTTTTTGGCTGCAGAAATTAATCACTGCATCTGTTATATTCAAACATACTGTCAAGCAATACAGACTTTGATGATTATTGATGTTATTGGTGGATGTTGTCATTTTATTTGCAACACAAGTTTTAAAGTATTTTCATATTTCAATTTTATTTTGTATTTTCTTATTTCTTTCCACTATGATCATATAGTACAATGATTTATCTTCTTTAATATTCGCTCATTTGCACAAAGGCTCGAGTTAATCCCTTCTCAGAAAAAGTTGTTGCAGGATTGAAAAAAATCGAAGTTGTTTTCATTTTCAAGTTAAAAAATACATTTAAACACACTAAAGTAGAACCCAATACTTTAGTGCATAGGATTAAGATAGATCTCATAATTTTAAATACACTAGGTACAATTACAAATGAGACATAAAAATTAAATTTGTTGTATAATATTGAAGCACTGAAATGTTGTACTCTTGTTCACATAGATTTATACTTTTATAAAATTTTACAAGAGAAAAAAATCTACGTGACAACAAGAAAAAGTTACAAAAGTTTTTTGAAAATACATGGGGTTAAGCCCTCAACTGTTTTCTACAAATAGTTCACAATATATGATTTCAATGAATTTCATAAGTATATGGATCTTTCCTTATCGTAATACTTAAAAAATCATGTATTTGCCATTTGAAATCCAAGAACAGAATGTTGCATTAATTACCATATCTTTATGGATTACAAGAGTTTATGAATTAAAATTTGGCAAAAATAATGTACAATTGGCATCTTTGATCTGCTGGAAGCATCTTTATAGGACACGGAATATCTTTTAATGCAGAAAATATTCATATTTTTAGTAATTTTGTCTATGCTTATTATTAATATGTTTTTAGAGCAATGTTACAAAATTACCTTCATGCTTGTAGGTTGTCTGTGAAAGGGTGAGACTATTAAAGTCAAGCAGTGCCACAAACAAGTTGTAGATCTGACTACAACTACAGTCTCCATATTTTGACTGCATCTACAAAAGAACTGCACAAAAGTGTTTGTTTTGACTGGAAGAGTGTCGACTATCGCGGCTGTCGGAGGATGTCGATGTCGATGACGACGCCGAGCCAGACGATGTGGATGCGAGGGAGATCTAGAGCAAGATCGGGATCGGGACAGGGATCGGAAGGAGTCAGAACCCGATTGCAGAGAGAGAGCTGCAATCAGACTGGAATTGAGATCGGAAGGGCGGCCATCGCTGCACCAAAGTCCAGTTCCACGCCCATGAACTCGTCAACTTCCTCACTCATGCTTCCGAGTTTGGTTTCATCCTTTTTTTAGCCACTACTTTTTTGGGGTGGTCCTCACACATTCTCCGCTCACTGTAGCTCATTAGTCTGCTTCTTTCCATGTCCCTACAGCTCCTATTCTCGCAAGTTTTGGCCGTGTGGTATCTAGTCTTCCGTTAAACTGGTGTTTCAGATCAGGTAACGTGACTTCCGTACTGTGACTGATTGCATTTGGGAAGAGTTGTGACATTGGGTTGCATATACCTCTCACCAGTCGTGATGAAGGCGAGGGCGCAATTGTTGGCCTGTGTGTGTGTAACGCTGAGTGATTTGCAGGGAGTTTGAAGGTCTGTTGTGGCGGTATGTCCAGATCATTAGTAAGAGAAAGCAATTTTGGTGCAGGGGTGAGATGGTGAGGTCGGGGAAGGAGTAGGGTGCAGTTTCGTTCTGATCCGAGTAATAATTCGATTGTTGCAGCGGATTCGCTTTGGATTCGGAGGTCTGAGATCCTCTATTCGTTACCGATTAGTCGCTTGAGCTGCCTGAAGCTTGTGATCTGCTCGGCGGGCTTGAAGACTATGAAGATTGATTGCTAGCAGTATTGGAAAGCGAACACTTTCGAACTTAGTCCTTTGTGTGCGAGGTAGTAGGTTTGTGCAGCTGACTGCGCCAGGCAGAGTTAAAATCTGCGATTGGACTGGAACAATCGATGCGTTGAGCAATGTTGGCACTTTTCGATAGCGTTCAATTTCGTTTCGTCGTTCCCAAGCGGCGTGGAAATTACGAGATTATAAAGCTATTGAAAACGATTTCAGCAGTTGATCAGGATACAAGGATCGACTGACAGCTATGCCGCATGTTGTTCTTTTTATTTTTATTTTTTACTTCTTCTCCTCTATTTTTGGGTTTCAAGTCAAGCAATAAGGCAGAGCCCAATTGTGATGTCTAGTTCTATTATAATTTCGGTGTGAGGTGCACGCTGGCATAGGTCACTATTAGCTCCGCGCTGGTTGTTGTCAACCGCAGAAGAGGCACCCATCAGGTTTATTTAATGAAGAGCATTCGTATATCATCCTCGTCGGTCGGTACACTTTCCTTGATTGATCGTGTATTGAGTTCTTCTGATTGGGTTATTTCAGGCTCGTAGTTGCAGCGCTGAGTGCTGTCGGACGAGTTGGTTTTATGCACTAGATTTATCTCCTGAAGTTCACTTTTCAGGACATTGAATTTCTGGAGCCAATGCATGTTTTTCTACATTTCTGACTTATGGAATCAAGGCGTGCAACATTTTCTTCTTGCATCGCTCTCAGAGGACGGTCGATTGGGAGGTCGGTACGCAGTTGAAGAGGATTAGAGCTGAATGATGCCTATGATTTTACCCCGAAACTGTTGACGGTCCAAGGAGCTGGCGGTCAGTCATCAAAGAATAGTATCTTCATGTGATTGCAAGAGAGTGCCCGTTTTATGAATTGGCTCTATGGTGGACAAAAAGACATGTCTTCCACTGTATTTCTCGCCGTTGCCACGTTCCAGCTGTATGCCTGCTGCCAATGAACACTTCCAGGCACGCACTCCCGAACATGCACCACCAATTAACTATCTTCAAGTATTATATACGCAAATGCTTTTTGTCGTAAATTTGCACTTCAACGGATGCAATTTGTGACTTAGCCTTTAGGAGGGACCGGAAAAAACAACCCTGTAGAATCCGGGGACAGGTTGGTCTTACGGTGAGAGTTTGTGACGATTGGAGCAGCAGATGGCAGCAAGTCGAAAAGATCAGAACTCCGAAGTAGGGTGTGACATCCATGTTGCCGCTTTGCAGGTAATGGCTCTAATAGTGGTAATACTTGAGAACTATACACATATGAATTTGAGTCCCGCGAATTTTGAAATCGCTTGCCTTGCTTGGCTGAATCGTGAAAGTGGTGGTCAGGATTCGTGCAGCTTGAAGGGATGGAGAAAGGCAACAGTAGTGTGGAAGCTGCTTGTCTTGGTAGTCATTGGAGGCTTTGGTTTGTATGCGTGTATGGTAGGTGTGGAAGACAGGAGATTTTCTTATGAGACTGTGGAGGAGACTACTGTTGTCAAAGATTGGAGACGAGAAGACAATTCTTGTTCTCGGCATGGCTCTGAGGGTTTTCGCCGACACTATCCACTCCCACATTCATACGAGAGGTAGAGTTCCAAAAAGTGGTACTTCAAATGTAATTCCTGAGCCATAATTTAGCCGTCCGTTTGTTTTGGTACCCTTGCACTCTTTAAACATCCTCACATCTTCGTCTGTTTCGCTTTCAGGAATGAGTGCACATGCACCCCTGTGCACTATTTTGTGATATTATCAATGCAGAGGTCAGGTAGTGGATGGTTCGAGACGCTTCTTAACAACCATCCAAACATTAGCTCCCATGGCGAAGTTTTCTCAGTCGGGGAGCGGAGGGATAATTTTTCCTCCATTGCTACAAACATGGACAAAGTCTTCAATCTGGATTGGCTGAACAGCGCTTCGAAGAATGAATGCACTGCAGCTGTTGGTTTCAAGTGGATGCTCAACCAGGTAGATTTCATCGAATCCTACAAATACTTGTGATTCGAGTGCAGTATATGTATATATATATATATATATATATATATATGGTTTTCTTTGCTTTTCTTCTATCTTTAACTGTACCTGTGTCATGTTTTTGTTATGCTGCAGGGGCCGATGGAATACAATGGGGAGGTTCTAGACTACTTCCAGAAGATGGGAGTTTCTGTAATTCTTCTACTTCGACGCAACGTGTTGAAGCGGTTGATCTCAATCATGGCAAACACGTATGACCAGCGTGCAAGGATCCTGAACGGCACGCACAAATCACATGTTCACTCCGTGGAAGAGGTAAGAAAAAAAAAGCGACTCTTCAGTCCCATCCCTGCTGAAAGCCACATATCCAGCGCGTGTCATATCGTTGAAGTGACGTGTTCACACACCGACTTTTCAACCCTTCGGCGTTTGTTGCACGTCACACAGGCTTTGAAACTTGCAGAATACAAACCAGTCATAGACGTGAAACATCTGCCTGAGAGACTGCAGCGAGTAGAGCAGATAGCCAGCGACGCCCAACGCTTCTTCAACAAAACTCGTCTGAGACCCGTTTACTACGAAGACCTCGTAACAGACCCAAAAGTAGGTCCCAGTAATCTCATCCCAACCACACTAACTCTGCCACAGTTTGCTCATTCTGTAAATCGCCGTGCCTTCTTCTAGAAACGTTTTATTCAACCCAAATGAGCTCATTTTTTTTTTTGTAAACTTGTGTTTCACATGTGCAGCAGTTGACTGAGATCCAAGAGTTTCTCAGGGTGCCGCCGCAAAATCTAGAAAGCCAGCAGGTGAAGATTCACACACGCCCTATGAGGGAACAAATACAGAATTGGGATGAGGTGCTAGCTCGCTTAAATGGAACCAAGTATGAGCTTCTGATGCACGATGACGATTACGCATGATGCACAGGAGCACTCAGTTTTGTATCGATGCTTCTTTCTTCGTGTTATTTTTTAAAATATTTTTTATCTTGTCTTTCGAGGTGCACACTTTGTTAAATATAAGTTTCAAGCTCTTAGAAGGTTTGCCAATTGCTGTTTTGTGATGTCTCTTTGAGTTTTTTCTTAAATGTGAGGACCATTCTCTGAATCATTTGCTAGGAATGTAGACTTCATTGAAGTTGGTTTGTTTGTATTTGTTCTTGTTGAAGATGTGTTTTAAAGAATAAAAACTTATTTGAATTGTTTGAATATGAAAATTGAAAATGAATCATAATGTGAGTGGTTAGAAATTCTGGCAATTGTAGGTGTGTGAAACTACCAGGTTTATTTTTCAAAGAATATAAAGACCATGGATTTGCTTTTGGTTGGTAGTGGTGGTTTGATTGTTTTATTTTATATTGTCATTTTACAACTTTTTCCAATTGGAGGTTATTTTTTTCTTGAATGCTTTGATTTTTACTTTCTCTTCTTATTGACTCATAGGAGGTCTGTAGTTCCAGCATTTAATATAATTTTAACATTTTAAACAAGTTTAAACCTTGCGTGTAATTTGATTGTAAAAAGACATAGCTTTTTGATGCAATCATTTATAGGTTTAATTTTTAATTTTTTTTCTAGAAGTTCATGTAACTTTTTTTTTTTCTATAATATTTCACTTTATAATTTCACTTTTTGCAAAAAAAATCCTGTAACAACATATTTCAGACCAAATTTTTTAAGATTTGTATAGTCCTGTTCCTTACTTCTTTTATTTTAATTTATTTATACAATTTCGTTCAACTAGCTTCTAATATATTATTAATTTTAGGCATGATTTTCAGTTTTGATTTCTTTATGAAATTGTTCTTTGGATGGCTTTGGTTTTGTTGATGTAATTGAAGTCAGATTTTTGACATGATTATTTTTTAATTTTTCCAATTTTTTATTAATTATATAGAATAAATTTCCTATAAATTCATTTATCCTAAGTATTATCAGTATCTCCTTTATATCAATTTTTATGATATCTGCTAATATGAAGGTTGTATGAATACGTATTCTATTTTTTAAAGTTGTAGTTGACTGTTATATTATAGATTTGTAATTATTAAAATGTTTTAACATTTTTATTCAATTTTTTTGGTATTGAATTTTCAGAACTTGTAATTTGAGATGCCATTTTTATCCTAACTAATATGCATATTAATTTATGTATTGCATCTTTACTTCTATTATTTGATAATTTCTTTTACAAATATTTTTATTAATGAATTTATTGTTATTCTTGAATTCACATGCATATAAATATTCATATATATATATATATATACTTTTATTTTTTTTCTTATACAAAACCTTTCAATTCAATATTGTCTGTTTGTTCATTTAATCTTTTTTTTTTGTTAGTTTTAAAAAATTAACTATGCGATATAATTCTAAAAATAAATTTAATAATAATATTTATATTTTAAATTTAAAAAATCGGATTTTTTTATTTTTTAGTATTTTGAAAATATTTTTTGATATATTTCAGTTCATTTTTTTGTAAAACAATATAGACTACTATTTCCAATCATAATCTTAGTGTTTAGATAAAATCATATCATTATTAATAGTAATACTATAATTGTGCTTTACTTTGTAAAATTTCACAAATTAATATATGTTTTGTGCAAGTACAAGTAATGCAAGAGAGGATTTTATAACCATGGCTTGACTAAGGCTAGTAACTTTCACACCAAAAAGAGAGCAAAAGTTTGTACAAATTTAAGAAAGTGTAGTTATCTTGGAAGAAATACAAATTAGGGACAAATAAATAAATAAATGGAAAAATCATCCCAAACAAAAGGATTAATCATTTACATGCAAGTTGATGTTGTAAATAGTCATAGACCATACTATTGACCATTTTTATTCTCTTATAATAATTAAAGCAAAAAAATGTATCTTTGTCACAAACATACATATTTACCTCAATAAGAAGTGTCAAGTAAAGAAAAAATATAAGTAGATTTGTTAATATTACCCAACCATACAGGAAGCAGAGGATGTTGCAGTTTAGTTTGATCAGAAACTATGGCCATAGCACAAACTCCACGCTAGAAGCAAAGCAAACACTGCAATCTGCTTTAGAATTACGCAATCTGTTGTTGTGATTTTTGGCGGCTGCTCATTGTGGGTCCACAGTTTCTACATCACCTCTGCCATGTGTTTCTAGGAAGTCTTGTCACTCAATGACAACTTGGGTTTTAGTGAAGGAAATGTAAACTACGTCGTGAATATGCAGAGTCTCATCTTCATTGCTTCTCCACAACCCACCCATAGATAACGTGAATCACCCCATGTAAGACCAGCTCTCAGTAGATTCACGTTATCTATGAATCTACTGAGAGCTGGTTTTACATGGGGTGATTTTTCAGGTAAAGGAAATGTCGAACTCTGTTACGGTGTGCACCGCTCAGTTTCGGAGCTGCGTATCAGAGAGTATTGCGTACTCATTCCTCGTCTCGGCTTTGCTGGAGGATGTATAAACGACCACGATGAAACATTCCGAATGGCAACAGAGCTGCAAACTTTGAGGTCACAGTGTCGTAGTTTTGCGCCAGTGTAGTAGGATGGCGTCACTACGACAACAGGTGGGTCTGGGATACTGGAGTGGGTTGGGGTGTGTTGCCATAGTGTTGACATCCTTCACTGGACCATTCGTGATCAGCTCTGACCCACTGCAATTCGGCATCGCTCTAAGAAGTCATCGATTCGTTTGATTCAGGTGAGGTTTTTGTAAGTCGAGGAGAAAAGCAAAGGCTTCTTCGGTTGTGGTGATGAGCGGAGAGGTTGTGAAGTGGATAAGCAACGATTTGAGCGCATCCGAAATAATCATCTTGGTAGGGTGTGAGGGTATCACCTCGAGATATGTTGTCATGAGCTAGCTCGATCAGGAATTGATCTGAACGCAGCCAATCCACCTTTCCATTTTTTTTTTTTTTTTTTCAGCTGCAATCTGTTGATTGATTTGGATTGGTGCGAATGGAGGAGAGAACAACTGCGTGGTTTCGGTTCCGATGGATATGCATGGTTAGCTAGGAATTGTATTAATGTGATGCGAGAAGGTACATGGCGCTGACGATTTCGGAATTCACCATCTAATTGCCAGCAATGAGTTCTTGTGAAGGAATCGAGAATAAGCTGGACATTTGTGTAGTGGGTGCTGGTCCTCACGGTCTTGCCTCCCTAACGCACTTCCTGTCCTCTCCCGAACACCTCGATCGCTTCGATGAGCATCCCAACAACAGCACTCTATACTTCGATCCTGCGGTGTCGACAAAAACGGGCGCCGAATCAAGTGTAAAGTCGCAGACAATGCCAACACGATCAGGTCGAAGAGAAGCGGTCGTGAAATGTATGAGCATTACATGTCTCGCGCAGCTTCTTCACATATGACTAAAGAACCCCCGAGGACTGATTCCACCGCGATCCGCTCCTGAACTTCACCATGTGCACAAGAGATCGAAAGCTGTGCATACTCAAGCTCCGTCCCTTGCTGATGATTCCACCGCACCACTCCGGCCTGCAAGCGACGCCCACTCTTGCGAAGACTCACACATTTTTGGACGTGACTTTGATCTAGAAACGTTATATTATTTTTAATTATTTTGTGTTTTGTAGGACAAGAATAAGATTTAGACAGTATTTGCATGGAGTTGAGGAATGTGATCAACATAGACTACACGTCAATGCAGGATATGAAGCATCTGTATTGCTAGTGCATGGACTTTGTAGTCTCTTACTTCCTGCATGATCTGTTATGATAATAATGTACAGTAGTTGGTGAATAATATGAGATTGTGGTATCACATAGTTGCGTTTTGTCCAACTCTTTTTTCTCTTTGTAAAATATTAGCTGCGTCGACTGATTTTCAGTTTCCTGACCTGATTAAGAATTCTTAATCATTCCAAGTTACTTTAATTGGGTTTTTTGTTTGTTTTGGAGATGTATGCATGTGAAGATGAATAACGCTAAACTCATTTTTACCGTCAACACTCTTTATTTTCAGTATATTGGGGTTTTCCTTCAGTATATTTTCCTGTAAAAAGAAATTTCTTTCTCTTTCACTTAGATAGTTCCTATTTATTTCTTAATGTCTTTATTTAGTTCGGATTTGTAAGATTAGCTATAATTGAAGTATTTGTGCAGATTATGACCTACTAAAGAGCAACTTACAGTATAAGTGATTTCAATTTTAGAGATTCTTTCTTTTACAAATTTCAAAGGAAAATTCATTTCGACAAATAAGAGGCACTTGATATTCATTTGGATTGAGGTTGAAACCCAATTATAATGAAGTTTGTGTAGTTTATTTTATTAATTTAACAAATTACACAAAGATCTAAAATATGTATGTTGGAGACAATTTAAGCTACTACTAATTTAAGTCTTATTTAATGATTAGATAAGATTTTATTGTTTAGTTATATAATTTAAATGCCAAATAGTCTTTATTTCTGTAGAAATTGACATTAGTTTATATTCTATATGTTTATAAATCTAAAGGTATCAAAGATGCAAAGGCAATAGACCAAGAGATGAAAAAGTACAAAAAAACAAAGATATTTGATTTCAAATAAGTTTAAGTGTAAGATTAGAAACAATTCATTACTTTCATTACTTTCAAAACTTTTGTTGAGAAAATTGAAGTATTTCTTGCCTTTTCTTCTTACTCAAATAAATAAAACCAGTAAAAATTTCTAAGAGATGGTCAAAATAGTATAGAATATTTTATAGGAACCTCTATAATACAACTAAATGTTCCAATTGCATAGAAAAGGATATGGAAGCTTTTCGAACACTGTAGAAGGTTTTAGATGGTTCTAGAGAATTCTAAAGATCTATGTAAAGTAGCATAACAATCTAATTGATTTTAAAAAATTCTAAAAACATTAATAATGTTAAAATTTGTTAAAAACATAAATAATGTTAAATTTTGTTCTAAATATAAACATAATATTATTAAATTTAAGTAGCATAATTATAACTTTATAAAGACTGGTAAAGTCAAAAAATTCATATATACATGTTTTGTTGAATGATTGCTATACAGTACATAGAAAGTAGAAACAAATATATCATGATAAATAAGAATATAGAAATTAAGAGATAGTGTAGAGAATATAGATAAAAATAATAATAATAATAATAATAATAATAAATATATAAATTAACTTTAAAAATTAACTTTAGTGCATTATTCTATTGTTGCTACCATAACATGTTACAAAACCATTAGTTTATACATATTTAATATTACACAATAATGGCCATTCTTTGTGACATCCTTCGGTATAAAGTAAAATAAACTTAATTCTAATGGATTTTTGTTAATTAATTAACTTGATGTTTATGTACTATTAAATTTTCAATACCATAAGGGTGTAAAAAATATAATTTGTTGCACGTAAAAAATAAAAATAAAAATAAAAAATGTATAAAACTAGTAAATTTATTTGAATTGACTAGGAATCTATATTATAATTTACATTTATATCTGAATATACGGATTACTAACAATCTATTAACATATATAAAATAAAAGTTATAATCACAATATATATATATATATATATATATATATATTTCTTTCTTTCTTTCTTTCAAATATTACTTGAATTTATAAGCAACTACAAAAATTCAAAATTTTATTTTAAATATTTGAATTGGTGAAACAACAAAATCAATATAAAAAATTAAAAAACTAAAAAAAATTAAAAAAATGATTTGTACAAATTTTTGAAATTATAACAAAACCATTGATATAATAAATATTTTAATTCAATTAAAGTTATGAATATAAATTTGTATAGTATTTTTGTATATTGTTAGATTATAAATTTTATAAATGATATCGAATTTACACCTACAATTTATTATCTAACATAGCAAAAACAAAGAATCAAACAATCAAAACAATTATTATAGTCTGTAAATAATTGATACATCTTCTTTAGCACTTTAAGCTTGTTTTATGCTACATGCAAATCAATTATTTAAACATATTAACTTTACTTAATGTAGTGACTTATATTTGTTTGGTTATAAAAAAAATCATGTTCTTAAAACGTGTTTCAAAGTTTTTAAAAAGTTTGACATGAGTGGAATACATTGACATGAGCAACATCAAGCAAAATATGCAGAGGAAGCACCAAATCAAGCATAGGTCTTTTAAAAAAAAAAAAAACTCATAATTACCTTAACATTATATATATATATATTTATATATATATATTCAAGAAACAAACTTCTTCCACTGGGAAACAAAAGATTATTTTCTAATGAATTCTCTTTTTTCTATCAGCAATAATAATCTAAAACTTGCTAGCATTGAAGAAAGATATGGAGTGTCGGTACCCAAATCATGGAAAATGCAAATCAGATACCCTAAAACGCCATCTTCCGTGTTGTGATCAGGTTTAGGGTTTAGGGTACATGCACTCCACAAGCAGCTCCGCGATCTTGAAGGCTTTCCACGCAGAGCTGGATTCTGATGTTTGTGATTTGCTGAGTTGGGTGCCAGGATCGTGCATTCGTTAGTTGCATCGCATCAATGGTGCAAAGCGTAAGTGCACAAGAAGCTGAGCTCTTGGACTTGGAGTGTATAATTGTGGACATTCCAATTTCTGAGTTTAATAGAGTGTTGTGTAGTATGCTTAGATAGCACGCAAGTTGCTTTGGTTACCACTTCAATGATCGGGAAGACGTCGTCAGAATTCGCGTCTTCATGGTGCGGAAGCTTGTGTCTGTCTCACGTGGGTTATGGAAAAGAATTGAACCCGTCACATGAAAATCGTACCGCAGGTGCATGTGAGCAATGGCTGGTGATAGTGTTTCCATCCTTTGCTGGGATTGCATTCCACTCCATTTGCATCACCAATTGCAGCATTAACGACGCCTCACGTCCCAAGCTCATCATCCAAACCCCTAACACTAAATTCTTTTGGCTTCGGTAGGCAGAGTTTCCCGGATTCTTTTGCAACAATGCAAATGGCATGAGCAATAGCTCTTCTACGAGAACCTGAGCATGAGCATTACTGCTGTTAAGGGCACCGTTTTCTCCATCGGATTAGGTCTCATACCTCAGGCGCAGACCCGAATCTTCCTCCGGAGGATGATGCAGCGGCCTTATTTGCTGCACTCAACAAATCTCAGAAAAAGTGTCGCTGCGACAAATCGGAGAACCCAATCGCATAGTCTCTGATACGCTGAACAATCTCATTGGCGAGCAGAATCTAACGATCCGTGGCTATAAAGCCGTTCTAAGATAATGGGGGATTTGTCACAAAACCCCAATGCAATCCAAGCATCTGGAGAATCATGGAGATTTCGGACAACTCTCCCATTTGCCGGCACGAATTCGATGGTCGGAAGAGGGCGAACACTTCACGCATTCAATCTCACGCACAAGAATCCTGCTCCATCAACTAACCCACCAGACCAAAATTTTCAAAACAGAAAAAACAATCTCACAAATTCACTCGACATTCGATACCTCCCACCCCGCGTAGGACCCAGTCCAATCGGAGTGGCAGGAACCGATCCCGCAATAACACGTGTACGCCACGTGGATCCGAACTACGAAGAGGGGTGCACCCTACGCGGAAGTCGGGGTCCACGTCGGATGGCTCGATGCCAAGCTGGACCAGAGAATGGTTTCTGAATGGATGGACGAATTCACGTCTCCGTTCGTTGCGACCCAAGTTTGATATCGTCCGTGTGAATTGCCACGTGTCGTTTTATTATTGGACTAGAGGTGGGCTTGTAGAAGATTTTTTTTCTCTAGTCAGAAGCAATGGGCACCACAGCCCTGCTTGGAAAACTGTGGCCCACTTAAATGAATGAAAAATAGTTAATAATATGAATAATAAGTAATTGTACTGGGAGATGCTAGTTAATGCAAAATTCCCATAGCAGGACTATTACCTAACCCCGCTCCCTTACTGTACCTTAATGCTATATAAGTGTGTGTGTTTTCCTAGAAGAATTAAAACCAGAGTAAAAAGACAGAAAGTTACAAAATTGAAGGTGGGGGGGGGGTGCGGAAAATAACAGATGTGTGTGTGTGGTTGGTGTTCGACTCAACTGCAAGCACACAATATCTAAATTAAAAAATTAAAAAAATCGTATGTACTGTGTCTATTCCTACCACAAAAATATAAACTTTTTTTTATTATTAATTTTGTTTTCTATCCTTTTTTTATGTTTTTTTCTTTTACTTGAAAAGAAAGTGTGAGCATGCATATATGCACATGTTATAAGCATATATATAAACATACTTAAAGGTTGTATGAAGTAGATGTGACAAAGAAGGATATGATTTACCTTCCTTCATAATAGGAAGAAGGCACCCCACAACAAAATACCCCAATTGTATGATTCATGATGTTGGGGTACTATATATATATATATATATATATAGAAAAATGTTAAGATGAAGAAGGCTGGAATTGGAGGGAGTGTGGGCCAAGTATTATTGTTATTGTTAACTTTCTATTCAAAAATGCCACAAATATATGATGTGGACATGGTGGTTTATGTGAAGTGAAAACTAATTGAAAATAATCAAAATAATTGAAGAAGGAATGATAGGGAAATGAGCGGCCGTATAGAGTGAATCCCCAAAAAACCTCCGTGGCTTTTGCAATCATAATTTCCATCATAGGTGCTTATTTTGTCATTGTGATTTTCCAATTGTTTTTCTCCTCCCCCCCCCCTTCATGTTTTTAAGTTTTATACATTGATTGGCCTAAAATACATTTTAAAAAGCTTGTATGTTCCAATCCGTCTAGGCATGGTGTTATTTTAAATCATGTTTATAAGTGGAT